CAAGGAGCAAATCAACACAAAAGCTAACAAAGTAGATAAAACAGTGAGAGATAATACTGATATTAGGTAGATCTCATTTTTAGAAAAAAATATGAAAGTTGAATGGAGTCAATAGGAGTTATGGTTTAGAAGATATGAATTTTCGAAGATTAAAGGATTTTTGACGCAAAGGACAATGAGTTTCCTTTTATTGGAAAGGAATATTTGGAAAGAATATTTCCTCGGGCCCACTGTCAATGGCGCCGGGGCTCAGCGCACGGTGGACCGCGCCCGCCGAGCGCGTGCCGTGGTGAGGTGATGGACCGGGCATGCGGTCCAACGGCCGGCGCACATGGGGCCCAACGGTCAGCGACTGGGCACGCATGGACCGAGTGCACGGACGGAGGAATAGGGTGGGACCCACATGCTATCAACCCATAAATTAACAAGAGATTCAATCAGGGTTAGTACAACCGGGTCCACATGTCATGGAGTCAAGGAAAGGGATTAAGAGGGTGATTACTGTACAAAGATTATTTATGAAAAAGTGGGGCCCACGTGGTCCTACCTGTCAGCTTCCTTTTCCTTCTCTCTTCTTCTCTTTATCAAGCTTATTTTATAGCTACGATCTAAAAAAATGATTTAGAGAAATATTTTGACGGGTATTTTTGGGGGCAAATTTGAAGTCTCTATTTTCACCACCCCCCTCTCTCTATAGCAACCTTTGATCCTTCAAAGCTACGCTTTGCAAATTTATGTGTCAGACATATAAAAGGCTAGAAATTTAGCATGCTAGTTGACAGGCTTAGTTATAGCGCATATTGTTAAGGTGTTATATAGAGTATAGACTATGATAAAAACTTTGTAATGAGAATTAAACTCTGGTTTAGTGTATCGCAAATCATATTATTTTTTAAACCTTCAAATTAAATGGCACTATTTAATTAAGAAGAAATATATTTTAATATGTGATATTTCATTTTGAAATAAACTTGTATAAAGAATTAGATATGAATGTGATTTTAAAGTTCAAAATTTGATTTTTTTTTTTACTTGTGAGGTGTATAAAGGTATTTATTTTGGTTCTAAAAGAACTTATTTATTTTCATTTCTTTTGAACTTGGTCCTCATGATTTATTTAGCTAAGGAGAGAGATGGTTCGTTGTTGGGCTCAGCCAAGCTGACCCAACCCAACCTGGTTTGCTTGCCATCGGTGCATCTCAGGCCAATAGACAGGAGTAGGCAACGGGTAGGGCTGTCGAAAAAGCTCGAGGCTCAGCGAGCAGTTCGAGCTTGGCTCGTCCTAGGCTCGATTCGAGCTCGGCTCGAGCTCCAAACGAGCCGAACTTAAGCCTGAGCAAAAGCTCGCGAGCTTTACCGAGCCGAGCTCGAGCTTCTACCAAGCCTGACCGAGCTTGACCGTGTATAGTTTATATTCCATGTTCACCTTATTAATATAATAAACTTATATATATATATATATAAATATATATTACTATCTATTTACAAAATAAATTAGCGTGTGTTAGCATAATATATTTATTTTAAACATTTTATACTCTTTTATTAATGTGATTACCTAGAAAATAATTATACTTATCAAGAGATTATTATTAAAATATATATTATTCTACTTATGGCCGAGCTCGAGCTCGAACCGAGCTTGCCTAAAAGCTCGAAGGTGCAATAGGCTCGGCTCGAGCTTGTGTCGAGCTTGAGCTTGGGCAGACGAGCTCGCTCGAGCTTGGCTCTTTGACAGCCCTAGCAACGGGCAGACATGTGCACCTACTGGATTTTTCATATTTTGGTCCTTTTGAAAAACTTATTTCGCAAATAGACCTCTAGAAAAACTTATCCCAGAAATGGTCCTTTTTGGCGATGCTGAGGTGGAAAAACTTATCCCAGAGTGGCTAGCGCCCCCACCACCCCCCAAAATTTTTTATTTTTCTTTTATTTGTTTGATATTTTTTTCACGCTTAGGGACACACAAGAACCAACCATAGAAAAATTGAACTCAAATAGACGTAATATGTGACCTGTAGAATTTTTCCTCTCCTCTCCTCTCCGAACTAGTGCAGAGGAGACAGATGTGCAACTTTTTTATTTTTATTTTATTTTTTGATATTTTTTTCACACTTAGAACTCACAAGAACCAACCATATAAAAAATAAACTCAAACGGATGAAATATGTGGCATGTGGAATTTTCCAAAGCTCTACCAAAAAACTTCTCTCCTCGAAAACACAATCTTGCAAGCGGAATTTGGAGGTTTTAATAACGTCGAACCCAGCGAAGTAAGTGAGAATCGGATGTAACTTTTTCTGTACATGTCTGTGGATATATTATTTTCCTGATTCCGAGTCCGTATGAGAAAGTTACGCCTATTTTAATAAATGACATCCGAATAACTTTTCGGTAGAGCTTTGGAAAATTCTACGAGTCACCCGTTTGAGTTTATTTTTTCTATGGTTGGTTCCTATATTCTTCTAAGTGTGAAAAAAATATCACAAAAATAAAATAAAAATAACAAAACTGTATCTCTCTGTACTGTTTAACTTATGGCTATCATTTCATGTGGTTATATTTTGAATTAGAGATTAAGTAATTTCATATAGTGGTAGAGTACATTATGTTTAACATGCTGATCAAAGGGTTTTACTAAAGAAGTTATGGTCTAATTTTGATGAAGGTGCAAAGTAGGCTAAGTGGTATGCTATTTTCGGATATCTAGCTAAGTGGCATATTCCATTCAAGTTTTTTTTTTGTGGTTAGTTGTATCGTGATCCTAAGTGCGAAAAAACATCCGAAAATATATAAAAAAAAGGTTGCAACTCTATATAGAGAAACAGAAATGGAGGCGAGGGGTGGGGGGAGGGGGGCGGCACCAGCCATGCTGGCACCCTCCTCCCTAGGGTGGCGCCAGCCATGGCTGGCGCCCTCTTCCTGCCATGTCGGTTCGCGTGTGCCATGGTGGTAGGAGGACGGCATCAAAGAGGCTGGCGCCGTCCTGTTGGACGATGGCGCTAGCCACTCTGGCGCCAAAAACAACCATTTCTGGGATAAGTTTTTTCAGAGGTTTATTTACGAAATAAGTTTTCTAAAAGAACCAAAATGTGAAAAATCCATTGTGCACCTAGCCACCTACCACGACCATTGGCCTGTGGCTATTTGTGCGGGACCCAGCTGGATACGTGGCCTATCCGCTCGTGCGGTAGCTTCTGATTTTTTTTTTCTTCTGTCTTGATATCTCCCGAGTTCTCCCGGCGTACGCAAGTCTTTACCTGTTGGTTTGCATATAAAAAAAAATTACTACTTACGTAACTGATAATTAAATAGAAAAACTTAGAAACATCACTATCGACCAGTTAAATCCAGCTAAAAAATCTAGGGAACCTGCATTCGTTCACTCATTCTTCAAATGGGGGACCTGATGATCAATCACTGTGGTGATAAATGAGTCATACATCCCGACCACTGCCAAGCTAGGTGTTGAAAATCAATGGAAATATGGGTGAGGTGTACATCATCATATTCCTAAAGATATCCAATCATGCTGTGCTGGAAGATAATATTCTTCGAATGAATTATCCTAAAGATAAATCAATTTGTTATTGTGAAATAATTTTGTTTAAAGTTTTTAGAAAAGCATAAAATTTCCTAGCCAATGAAACGAATTAAATTTTTTAAAATACTATTTTTTAAATATATGTTGTATGCAATTTTATTGGTACAAATATACTGCCGATATTACGGTATCACGTGGAGAATGCACGAGACGGCTCGCCGTCGAGAAGGGAGGCTGCGAGACTGAGCGGTCACGCATGCCCAACGAGCGAGACCGAATAGCATGTTACTATTAATTATTAATTAATTAGTTATTAATTAATCACTAGTTATTATTAATTAATAGCTAATCATTCAATTTCCAAACCAGTATTGCACGCTCGCCCTGCGAGACTGCTCGGTCTTGAGCTGTCTCTGCGTGACCACTCACTCCCATGTCACTTTCTCGCGCTGGTTCATGGACGGTATATTTGTGCCAAAAAAAAAATACATCCAGGGTATTTTAAAAAAAGAAATATGAACAGTATATTTCAAATTTAATTCCTAATGAAACTTAATCCAACATTTCCTTCAAAATAAGCTATATCCAAAACTTCACATAATATCGAGTACTAAAGAACAGATAGTTAAATATCTTTGTTTAAGGACAAATTAATCTGATTGCTCAAATTACATAGAACAAACAACCACATTCTTAGTATCACAACGCATAAACACCGGAGTATATATGAATGTTACCAATTTTTATATTACCGGGGGGGTTGTATTTCTTGAATTAATTATGTCAAGGAGATAACGAAGTCAATCACACAAGACAATTCCTTTCAAAAAAAAAATCACACAAGACAATAACTCACCTTTCGGATGTCGCCTTCTCGTATGACCGTGTCGAACTAGCTCACAGCAGAGTATTGCCGTCAAAGACTTCCTAGTCAATCTGGTCCATAAAAATTAAATTAGCAATCCACGTTACGGTTTATTCCCTCTGTCTCAAAATATAACTTCTAACGTTAAAATTTTATCCCAAAATATAGTTACTTCTCCAGCAATTCTTTCATGTCAACCAATCTCAACCGTTTGTTATTTAATTTTCTACTACCTCCGTCCCATAATAGATGTTACTTTGACTTTTTACTTGCAACGTTTAACCATTCGTTTTATTTTAAAAATTAGTGTAAATATAAAAAAAGAAAAGTCATACATAAAGTAATTTTTATAATAAAGCAAATCATAAAGAAAATAAATAATAATTCTATTTATTTTAATAAGACGAATGATCAAACATTACAAACAAGAACTCAAAGCGTCGTGTAATATGGAAAGGAGGTAGTATCCACTTTCCCATCATTCGAATAATTTTTTCATCAAAACCAATCACAACAATTCATTCGAACAATTCTTATATATTTTAAGACGAAGACAACAATAGTTTACTAAGCTTCGTTGATTACGTATGCTCATGCGGTCCTGCGACTGAGTCTACGATGAGAGCTCTATAAGTTCACCACCGTTCTGCAGTAGCTAGCTTCCTTACGAGGGAGAGTTAAGTTTGTTGTCAGCGCATTTTTTTTTCTGGCACGAGAAGTACTTTGGAGAAAACATGGGAAAGGTATTATGTCATCTCTTTTTTATTTTAGATAATGATTGCGTCATCTCTTTGTTTCTTTTACTATGAAGAAGTTGCATGCTCGATGATTTTGGTGCCTAATATTTATATGTTATAGATTTTTGTAGTCAAATAAACATATTGTTCTGTGCACTTCAACTAAATCATGTTTATACATATAGAAGTCGAGGCTATGTTTTGAATCAAAAGGGACCCAAACTGTATAAACTACTAAATTTAAGTTATATTTATGCCTTTAATTAAATGTTTTGTCTAAGATAATTTTCTCAACCTATGGAGATCTTAGTGGATGTTCATAAGCAAAGAGATGGGAAAGATCTGTCGTTATATTCCTGATAACTTCACATCCCTACTCATGGTGAAACCTTCTCTGTTGCTTTAATTTGCCGGTTAATTTGTTCACCAAATTAGCTACGCTAACTCCATTCCCTCAGCCACCATTGCCACCACTGCTCTGCTAGGAGTTGGCTGCTTATGTTAGAGTCAGTTCTTTCTCAACATCCTCATGCATGGGTCAGGGCCCTTTTGAACCCAATACTTAATTGTGCAGCAATTTTTGAATGAGTTTGTGCATATTAATTGAAAAGTGAGGTATGCGGATAAAAGTGTATTTCCTATGGTTCAAACTAATATAGTACTCCATCCGTCTTCATCTGTCACTGCTGACCATCAATGTTTCGAATTTGACCATTAATATTTTTAAAGGATTAATTATGATTAATGAAAGTTGTATAATTGCATTTACGTCAGAACATGTACTGCTAGTATTTCACTCTTTTAAGTATATATACGATATATTTTTTGCACAAAGGACCAGTGGTTTAAGTTATAATTTGAATAGTACCTAGTAACATTATTTGAAAACTGGTGGGGGGTAATAAACTAAACACTAGCCTAAACGAGTTAGACTTACATACCGAAAGTGTGGAAAAACATGTAATCCCTCCGTCCCAAAACATAAGTATTTTTAGAATAGTGTCAAGTCAAACATTTTTAACTTTAACTATTAATAGCAAAAAAAATAAAAAACATTCAATCATTTAAATTGATGTTATTAGATATATCATTCAACAAATTGTCATATATGCAACTGTTTTTATTTAAAACATCTTACTAGATATAGTTGGTTAAAGTAACATCTTGAAAACTGTGTCGAAGTGTAAAAATACATATATTTTAGGACGGGGGAGTATAAAACAACTCAAGTGTACCCAAAAAATAAACCCCCAAAAGTTCTACTAACTCCTCGGCCAAGTCAGAGAGCTACCATGGTATTTCTTATAATTTCAAACTATGGCAAGCCTCTTTCCAATTTTGAGCTTTCTAAGTCTGGCCGGAGTTACCAACATACCACTACCATAGTCCCTACTATGAGAAATATCCACTTGCTTCGTCAACATTAATTCTGAAAGGGAAGGCTGGACTTTCACTCCTTTACATCATTGTCTTTCAAATTTCATTTCATTTCACCAATTGCTTTCTGAACATGTTGAATATTCCATTGAATAGTACAGAAATATTTATTTACTTTTTTCTTGTCGTTGTAGATAAAGGTGGAGATAAAGGTGCCAATGACGGATGAAAGGAAGAAATCTAAAGTTATGCAAATAATTGCTAAACATAGTGGTAATACTTCGATCGCATCTTGTTCCAAGTACTATATAATACTATGCATCATGGTTTTTGTATACTGAATTATACTTGCTCTCGCGCTGCTTAACCCTCAAAAAATAAAGTTGTCGATGGAGATGAATGAGCATTTTGTCCCTTTCTTATGGGCATTTTTGCCTTTCCGGGAGGAAATGCAACTGTGAATATTTGAGGCAACATATATATAACCTTAATAATTAATCTGCAAGCCTCCGTTTTAACATTTATTCTTAGCAAATAAACATTAATGGTACACGAAAACTACACACCTATTCCTTACACCTTAGTTCATTAGGATTATTATTGTCTTGGATATAGGAATCTTGTCAATCACAGCCGATCGAGATAAAGATAAGGTGACCATAGTTGGCAATGAAAACATGGATGTCACGTGTTTGACAATGGAGTTGAGGAAACAGATGCGGCGTACTCACATTGTCATTGACACGGTCACACCGGTTGATGAGAAGAAGGAAAAGGAGGAGAAGGAAAAGAAGGAGAAAGAGGAGAAGGAGAAGAAAGAGAAAGAGGAGAAGGAGAAGAAGAAGAAGGAAGAAGAGCAAAACAATCCCAAGATTGTTTGTACGCCGTACTATGTGCACATGGTGGACGAGCCCAGTCCATCATGCTGCCAGATGTAGCTATATTGTATGAAATCACTATGAGTGTGTTGTGGAGAATTTTGGAAGATTTATTATCAGCCATTTGCTGCAAATTGATACATGTATAGTTAATGAGTTCAAATAACTTTAGTTTTCTGTTTTGTTTTTCCTTATTCTTCTACAACGCAAGTATGAAGAACTGAATTGTACTTAAATTGGGTAGGAAACTGGTGGTTTTTGCTACTCCCTACATATGGAATTGGTCATGGGATCAGATCCAATATATATGCACCCTGTTATCAAATGTTGGTTGCGCAAAATGAACATTATTTTAGAGGTATATATAATTGTGTGAATTTTATACATGCTGTGAAGTGAGAATTAACAATGTATCTATGTTGATGTGTATATCTGATTACATGCCCACATTTTGTTTCTTAACTATGAAGCCGGCCGGTATTTATTATTTTTCTCAAGTGTCAACCATTTACATTCATTGCTAGAACCAAACAATGGTGGCATTCAAGGATGTAACCGTATGTGGAGCCTACATAGGTGGTGTTTGGATCCAGAGACTAAACTTGTCCTTATCACATCGGATGTTTAGATATTAATTTAGAGTATTAAATATAGACTACCTAAAAACTAATTACATAAATGAGAGCTAATTCGCGTGACAAATTTTTTAAGCCTAATTAAACCATAATTAGCATATATTTACTGTAGCATCACATAGGCTAATCATGGATTAATTAGGCTCAATAGGTTCGTCTCGCGAATTAGTCCAGGGTTATGTAATGGGTTTTGTCAATAGTCTACATTTAATACTTTTAATTAGTGTCAAACATCCGATGTGATAGGGATAAAAAAAATTTTTTTAGTCCCATCCAAACAGCTCCATAAGGAAATAGTGATGACATCATCATATCGATTAATAATAAAGGGCTAAAAAATAAATAAGCAAATTAAGACAAATATTAGAACCCATCTGCCATCTTCCTCTGTTTTCTCTTCATGATGTATGATTATTTTTTAAGTAAGTTTCACAAAACTATCAACATTTTAATTATTCTATCACAAAATTATAGATGTAAAATCATGTATAGCAAAACTATATATTTAATATCAAGTTTATCATATAACTACAAATTTAAAGTGAATTACATATTTAAATTAGAGTATTGCAAAACTACATATTTAATAATAACCTTATCACAAAACTGTAGCTCCAATTTTATAAAAAGATGGATATTCAAAACTGTAATAATATTATTGTTAGGGATATAAACTCTAAACTCTGTAGTTTTGCGATAACTTTATTTTTAAATATATGGTTTTGCTATACTTAGCTCTAAATCTATTTTTTAATATAAATTTGATCTTAAATATGTAGTTTTGTCTACACCACTTTAAATCTATATTTTGCAATAGTTTGGTTAGTTCTTGAATTTTTTTTTGATTTGCTAACTTTGGTGCCACATTGTGCCACATTATCAAAAATCATCCTTCCTTGAACTCAGAGGGGTAGACTGTAAATGGTTATGAGAGTTGAGAGACCAATAACTATAAGTTTCATTGTTAAGGGATAAAACCAGGACCAAAACTATACTGGATGAATAAAACTGTTTACTTTTCTATATTACATCATGGTCCTATAACGCGTGCAATTCAAACCATCAATTCTTCTCAATTGGCGTGTTTTTATAGATTTAGTCCATTCAAACCTATTAAAAATTAAAAATGATGACTAAATACAGACATATATATAAAACGAGAAAGTTTATAGACCTATTAAGTTTTAATTATTTTAATAGATTTATCTAATATCTAAAATAAACTTCTATATAAAATGTTTTCGTACGAAATACACTGTTTAGCAGTTTGAAGAGTGTGCTAAAGGAAACCAAGGTAAAATTTGTATATGATTATCTTAATCAGGTTCAAACGTGCGTTTGTTGACTTTATATTATGTTCATTTTGATTTATAAAAGGAATAAGTCTATTTACGTCTCTCATCTCTTGCTCGTAATCGAGTCACCTCCCCCAACTGCAAAACTGTAACGTCTCCCCCATCTCCGAAAACCGGTGCGAATCGACTCCCTTAGTGGTTTTGGAAGCGGTTTCTGATGACGTGGCAGTTTGACGACCTCAGCTGACTAGCTAAGTCAGCAGGTGGGACCTACAAATCAGCAACTTTCGACTCATCTCTACTAGAAAAATAATTTATTGCTATGAAAAAAATCGTAGCATCAATGATAAAATTGTGGCAATAGATACATATCGCCACAATCTTAAAATCGTTGCTAACCGTGGCAATAAATAGAGTGGTAATAGGTTATTGAAACGATTTTCATTTAGTTGTAATAAATTTTGATATTGCCATAAAATGGATGTGGCAAAAAGTTATATTCCAACACTTCACATCGTTGCAATAAATAATTATTACCACCACTCTATGTGTGGCATTCAAACCCAAGATCTCTCTTTCACACACGCTCTCCTTTACTAACTCACCTACGCATCAATATTATTTAAAAATGCATCATTCTATTTGAGCCTACCTAACAGATATTTGAATCATTGATTTGAGTATCTAAAATATTTCAAATGAAAAAGTTGTCACCTATAAAGTTGTAGATCTCGTCGAGAGCTATAAAATTTGTCCTAATCCATGTTCATATGAAAAAAATAAGTTAAATTATCAAATGATAAATTTTTTATTGCAACGAATTTGTTGATTATGGCAATAGAAAATAGTGAAAAGTAAATTATCACAGCCATGTACTACGCAAATTGCCACAAAAATTAAAATTGTAGCAACAGAACATGTTTTTTTTTTTGCAACGGTAATTTTTTTCGTGGTAATAGCTCATTTCCTATTGCAACAAAAGTACTAAATAAAACAGTGATAGTAATTCGTTGCAACAAAATATAGTTATTTGCCACAGAAAAATTATCATTGCGATAGTACAACATATTGCCACGAATTATTTTTCGTTGTAATAATTTGGCGTCGATAGCTCAATTATCTTCTTCCTTACCTCTCCTCTCTCCTTCCTTCTTCTCTCTTGCCCTTCAGGCGGCTCCCGCTGCCCTGCTTCATCTGCTTCTCGACCTTCCTTCACTGCTAGCGTGCACAACACGGTGTCCTCTCCGCCGCCATCGGCGTGCATGACGACCCCGCCTTGCCACTACGGCACAACATGGTGTCCTCTCCGCCGCCATCAGCGTGCATGACGACCCCGCCTAGCCACTACAGCACCACAGCCAGCGGTGTTGAAGGTCATTAAATGCAAACTTTAACCGTCAACTCCTACATAAAAGAAATGAAATGTACTAGCAAAGATTAGTGGTAGGGGTTTACTACTAATCATTTCCACTAGTTTTAGTAAAAATATGTATGCAAGTCATTTAAGGAGAAAATTCCCCCACCATGCAACAAAAATGAACCTCCGGCGAACCATGCGTGAGCACAAGGATTGGGAGGCTCACCTGTCTGTAGAAATAGACCTAAAGTGGGACCGAACTATCCTTAACCGCCATAGGGGCCCACCTGCAAGCTGCTGAAGAAAGTTGGTGGAGAGAGGTGGGGCCCAAGAGTCGGCCGAACCAAGGGTTCGGCTGAACTAATCTTGGCCCACCTTATCTCCACCTTCCACGTGGACGTCCCAGATGGCTTCCCAATGACGGTTAGAAGCGCACCGGCCTCCATAACCGCCATTCCAACCATCATGTGAAGGCTATAAAAGGAGGAGCTCAACACACTCGTCAATGCACAACAAAGTAGAGTGCAACTCACTTTTAGAACTTCAGCTCTATTTTGGTACGTAGGGTTGAGTAGACAATGAGGGGAAGCTCTGAAAGGAATGCCCCGAATATCGGAGTTTTCTCTGACACTTTTACGGAGGAGTGCCGAAGTGTCGATATTCTTCCAGCGGAGTTCCGGAGAAGCGTTGGGACTGTCGGCCTTCTTCTCGAATTTTTTTTTATTTTTTCAAATTTTTAATGTTTAATTTTAAAAATAAACTAATTCAAAACTTATTTTTAAGATCTGAACCTTTTAATCAGACAGCCAAACTGGCATGACAAAACAATATTGTCACGTCGAACCCACTAGCGTGACAACATCATTTGGCCATGTTGGCCTCACTGGCGTGATAGGACAAAACTATCACGTCCGCTGTGGGTGGCGTGCCAGTGTTGTTTTGCCAAGTCAGGCTGGCTAGCGTGGCCAAAAGGTTCAGATTTTGAAAATAATTTTTGATAGAGTTTTCTAAAAAAATTAAAAATTAAAAAGGTTAAAAAAATAAAAAAAATCCTTCTTGCTTGTATCTCGGCGGATGCTTCCTTTTATAAAGGAAGATTAGACCCTTCTTTATATTCTTTACTTAGTTTACTTAAGTGAGAAATATTATCATCGGTGCTAATTCATCGCTTAGTGCGCAACTGAGTGCTCTAGTACTAGGACCCTGGATAAAGAAGAAAGTTCCTGCGCAAGGCTAGAGTAGTAATTAATAACTTAGATGTGGTGTCTAGGTTAGAAATTATCTTCGTTTGTTGTGTGCTCCACGGAAAGTGAGGTACTCGGTAGGTGGTGACAATCTTGTCCGTCCTTTGTATCCCTCCATGTTCGGGTACATCATAGAGTTCAAGGCCAAACTCAGCCTGACAGACCAGGGGAGGCTAGTGTCCAAAGCATTCGATAGAACTTCACCTTTCACCAAGATAACTAGCTAAGTGTCAATGTTTGCGATCGCAACTATGGTATTTTGCATAGTATGGGGATCGTTGTACTAGGGTATATGCGAGATTGAGGTAAAAGATTTGGAGACAAGAATTTTTATACCGGTTCGGGCCCCTTATTTGACATGTAATAGCCTACTCCTGTTGGTCGAAGCCGGTGTTGCTCTTTATTCATCGTAATCACACCATTACAATAATTGGGATAACATATCTAGCCATCGTCGACTTGGCGGCATGGATAACCAACACGTAGTCGACGACAGGGTAGTCTTCCTCCTTGAATCCGCACTCGGCGAGATCAGAGATAGCGCTAGGTCTCTCTTGTTGGCCTCTGTAGACACCATATTGGGTTTGTCTATGCTTATATCTGATGTCGACATCCGGCAGCTTGTCTTAGCGTGGGTTGGCTTATATGTTGTGCGTCTATGGTCTGTGTTGTTGTCCCTCCCCCTAGGGGCTTTGTATTTATATCCATAGATGTCCCCTTGTTCAAGTAGGACTAGGGAGACAAATATGGATACAATCCGGGTAGTCCTTGTCATTTCCATATAGAACTTTTATTCGTCCTTCCTTATCCGGAACTCCTTCTATACACGAGGTATGATTCCGTATAAGACATG